GTTGGTCCTCAATTCCCACTATGGCTTCAAAATCAAAAGCTGCTTGTCAAATTAGACCTCTCCAATTGTGGAATTTCTGATATCATTCCAGGATGGTTTTGGAATTTATCATCTCAAATAATTTACTTGAACATGTCTCAGAATGCAATAAGAGGTGAACTTCCAATGTCATTAAATATTGCATTAGGGGCAACTATCGACTTAAGATCAAATCAATTGGAAGGATGCCTTCCTCGGCCATGGAATTTTGTACGTTCTGTATCATTTTCGAATAATAAGTTCTCAAGCGGCATTGAGTTATATTTAAATGGGAACATGAGTTTGTTGGTGGTGCTTGACCTTTCTCAAAATCATCTCTCAAGTGAAATCCCTAATTCTATATGTCAAATGCCTTCAATAATTCTTCTCGACTTATCACATAACAATCTTTCAGGAGAAATTCCAACGTGCAATGGTAATGTTTCAAGCTATAAGATGCTAAAGTTTGTCAGCATTTCATACAACAACTTAAGGGGTTTTATTCCACAATGGATAGGGAATCTACCAATGTTAATTTCATTGCACCTCAACGACAATGTTTTTCAAGGGAATATGCCATTTTTCAAAAATTGCAGCAAGCTTATTACCCTTGACTTGGGCGAAAATTATCTTACAGGAAGCATACCTTTGTGGATTGGAGAAAAATTATTGTCCCTAAAGATCTTACGCTTACACTCAAATAAATTATGTGGATCAATTCCTTGGGAGCTATCCAAACTAAAAGATCTACAAATCTTGGATCTTTCAAAAAATTTTCTTTCTGGGCCAATCCCAAAATCTTTTAAATTTCTCAATTCAATGACCATACAAAATAAGAGGCTTGAATCTCTAATTCCTCAGGTACATTTCGAAATAAGTGATCCTTTGATTCCCATATATCTTTTCTACATTCCAGGCGTACTTTTACCTGATTCAATAATGATTGGTATAAAAGGAATAGTCCGTGAATTCAAATACATACTCTCTCTTGTGAACATTATAGATCTTTCATGTAATAATCTCACTGGTGGAGTTCCTATTGAATTAATGAGGCTTGTTGGATTGATGAGCTTGAATTTATCGAGAAACCAATTCACGGGACAGATACCAAATAAAATTGGTGTTATGCAAAGCTTAGAAAGTTTGGATCTCTCATGGAACGATTTCTCAGGAGATATTCCAGAGAGCATTGTGTCGCTCACTGCATTGAGTTTTCTCAACTTATCTTACAATCAATTGTCTGGTAGAATCCCGTCGGGGACCCAACTTGACACTTTTCATGAATCAAGTTATTATGGAAATCCAAAACTATGTGGAAAGCCACTACATAAGACTTGCGAAGGTGATGAATATAAAATTCATAATTCATGAAGAAGGAGGCGATTTTCAGGATGATGATGATTTTGGTTTGTTCCTAGGTATGGGACTTGGTTTTGCTGTTGGACTATGGAGTGTATTGGGGACCTTATTGCTCAAGAGGTCTTGGGCAACCACTTATTTCCAATTCCTTGATAAAGTGATAGATAATATTTATGTATTTATCAACGTAAAAGTGAATCAGTGGTTTAATCATCAAATAACATAATTAACTGATGATCATTTTTGTATTTGAGTTATTTCAAAAAGTGTTTTTAGTGATCCCAATATATATAATATTGTGTTTTACTAATATTTCAATTAAAGTTCTCTGTCTTTGTAGTCCGCATTTCACTTTGAATCATTGAGTTGCTTGAGACCATGTTGGTGATAATAGCAGCTTAAAGTATTATCAAATCATTTTTTTTCCGAGTAATAATATCAGTTAAAGTTATAAATTAAAATTAGCCTGATTTTTTATAAGTAATTATATGTCATGGATCAATTATTTCTAAACTCATATTTATGTTTCATAATAGTTGGATGTTAGGATGTTATATAAAAAGGGTGATAAAGTAGAGTATTCTATAAGTCAAAAAAACTTGTTTGATATCAAGAAATAAGAAACATTATGATAATTAAAATCTCAAATCTTTTTGAAAAATAATATAAAAGATTTGGGTGGTATAAATGTAAAAAAAAAGTAATGTTTAGGTGTAAGATGTGTAACTACATAGAAATTGTATGTAAATGCCATTTTTTAAATCTAATTACGTGCAGGGGAAGATAATTACACAATTAAAATTCTCATTTCTTATGTTTAAGACATCGCATAATGAAATAATATCGGATTTTCAATTGATGTATTTTTTTTTTTTGGAAGATTTACATTTATACCTTTCAATTCCTATGTTTTTATATATCTAACACTAAACTTCACTTTTAACATACATAGAACCTTATTTATGCATGAAAAGATTTATTTCACTTTTTAAAAGTTAAAATGGTGGTATAGTAAAAAATTTTGGTGTAAGGTAAGTAAATAATAATATCCCGTACGATTTAACATTAATGTAAACTATAAGTGAAGAGGTGATAATAAGCAACATAATAAGCTACACACAAGAAGAAACAAAAATTAAATCTATTTAATTAGTTTAATACTTAATTCAAATAAATAGCAATCTTCACTTTGATTCAAGTATTAGACAAGCATAGCCCCTCTTTCTCTTTGCACCTCCTTAACTAGAAGGTCTACCTACCCGATGCAAAGTCGGGCGATACTAGAATTTAGTTTCATAGACAAGCGAAGCCCCTCTTTCCCCAATTATAATTACACTGCAATAAATGTAATTTGCCCTTCCCTATGTTCCTTATTATAACTATCCAAATATAGTATATGGTTTGACCCAATTCTTTTATCTCAAATTTACTATTAAATAAAATTTTTAAATATGTTATTACTTCACCGTTTTCACTAGCTATTACTATATCATCAACCATAAAATAAATATATAACATTGCTCTACAAATACGTTTTATAATAAACACACATATCATAAACACTCCTCTGGTAAGAATTATGAATTGTCAAAAAATAAATTTCTTGTACTATTATTGTGAAAACTCCTTGATTTTAAGCGAAGTCAACTTGATCCACACCATATTCTTTGGAATTGAATTATTGGCACACTTAAGATTGAATTGAATTACTAGCCAAGCTTGAGCCGACTCGCTAGCTTTCTTGGCTCACTTAAACCCCTAATATCTTCCATTTCTGATGTTGTGGAAGGCCTTTCGCATGTCACGCCTTTTGATCCATCACTTTTTTGCTTACAACACTTGAAGTATATGTGCATAAGTGGCATTGTCCAATCAAACAAGAATCTCTAATTCTATTAACTCCTCACTAAGTTGAACCATTTTGACCTTTCTTATTCGTGGTTTATCAAAAAAGTTGCAGCCTTAGAAAACAATTTTACAGAAATGATAGATGATGGAAGTGCTTCAATATGCAAGGAATTTAAAATTAAATTTGCAAATCTATCACAATTAGAGTTCATATAACTTTCAGGCCACTTGAATTTTAACCTGATTAGCTTTAATTGGATTTCCCCATGTCGAATTTCCATTCTTACCTAAGTTATTGTCTTATATGACCTAAATTCTCTGTCTTTAAAAGCAGAAGCTCATTTCCATTTTAGACCTACACAATTGTGGCATTTCTGATATTATTATTCCAGGTTAACTTTGAATTATTTCTTCTAAAACATATCGCTTAAACATGTCTCAGAATGCAAATAGAAGTGAAGTTCCCATATCAATTGTTTGCTTTCATAAATCAGCGAAAATTATTATATTGATATCATAAGGGGTTATAAATAACTTTTACATGAATCCTAGAAAATGAAGGCAATAAAAAAGGAAATAATAGGAAAATAAAGATATGACACCTAATATCTCCAATGAATTAACTTATAATTATAATAACTATTTGGACATAAAAGGAAACAATATGAAATAGGAAAGCCTAAAATAGAAAAGGAAATAAATCTAAAATAAAAAAAAATAAAATTATATTAGGAAATAAATTTAATCCTCGCAACTTCTAACAGAACTAAATTATTTTCCAATATAACTTCTAGCACACCCTCTTAAGTTGAAACATTATTGAAAACCATGTTCAACTTAGATTTGAAAACATCAAACAATGAACGAGAAAGATTCTATGAGGTAGAACTTGAAGTCTTTGACTATAGTTTCTACAGTGCTTTTAGGTAGGCGGAAGGCTCTTACAGTTAACGTTGCAAGAGAGTTCACATCGAAGTAAACAATCTGCAAGAATAGTTGACTTCTCGCTGACTGCAGTTGTCATTGATTGCAGTTTCTGCAGTGTCTGCAAGAAGGCGGAAGGCTCCTCCAATTATTCAGCAAGAAAGTTTACAAGTAGAGAACCTACAAGAAAAGGCTGCAAGGTATAGCCTGCAAGAAAAAAGAATAAAAAAAGAATAAAAAGGAGAAAAAAAACAAGCTCCGAAGGAGGGGTTGTTGCAAGAAAGATTCCAAAAAAGGGCCCTAATGCAGGAAAAGTTCTATGAAGGGTCAGCTGTAGAAAAAGATTCCAAAGGAGGATCTACTATATGAAATATTATAGAGGAGGGTCTGATGCAGGGAAAGACTCTAGAGGAGGGTATTTTACAGGAAATGCTCCGGAAGAGAGTCTGCTACAGGAAAGATTTCAGAGGAGGGCCTGATGCAGGAAAAAAACTTCGAAGGAGGGTCAGCTACAGGAAAGCTTTGAAAGAGGGTCTGTTGCAGGAAAGATTTCAGAGGAGGGTCTAATGTAAGAAAAAGCTCTAGATGAGAGTCCGCTACAAGAAAAGACTCCGGAGGAGGGCCTACGGCAGGAAAAGGCTCCATAGGCAGACCCGAGGCAGGAAAAGGCTCTAGAGATTAGTCTACTGAGAGAAAAAAAAACTCCTGAGGAGAGCCAGCTAAGGAAAAGGCTCTTAAAGTAGGTCTGTTGCAGAAAAGGATCCGCAAAAGGGTCTGCTGCGAGAAAAAACTCCGGAGAAGGGTCTGCTGCGAAAAAAAAAAACTCTTTAACCATTTTAGTCTATTGATCCAAATCAACAACTTCTATTGCTTTCTAAATCACTGGAAATTCATACATCTGCAAACTAAGAGTCAATACATGCTTTATCAGCTCACTTTTCTGAGCAGCAGAACCATGTTCAAGAAACATCTGGACCACATAATTTCCAAACATATCAGTCATTAAAGAAAAAGCACGGAGCATGATTTCATCGAAAAACCATGTCATTCTCTTTAGTCGTGGTTTTTGTTGTATGAATCAAGTCCCATACTGGTCAGCACTAAACTCAACTACATGACCGGCAATATCAGAAAGCTCATAGCACTTGGTCTTGTTGTTCTTAAATTCCATCATAAGAGAGGAAGCAAAGCCGTCATGGATGTTCCCACCACCATCCAAATGCTACGAACCCATCACACTACCAACTAGGTTTCTCATGCCCGAAGGACTATAGATATTACTCCGCTCAGTATGCCTCAAAGAGATACAAGATCCAACAGGAGAAGCTGGGAGAATAGGGCTTGCCTAAGGACTTCCCTGATAGGACATACCAAGACCAAAAGGGCGGACATAATAGCCAAACTTACCGAGATATCGCATTCCAAACTGTTTCTGTTGATGAAGCAAAGACCCAAGATATGTATTTTGGATGCCAACGAATCTGCATTAAGAATTACCCATGAAGTTCCTCTCCAACAAAGGATCATTGAAATTAGTTGCAGCAGGCTATGCAGCACTCAAGTAATGAATATAAAGCGGATCAAGATGCATCTAAAAATCAAAAGTTGATGCATGACTACCAATTTTATGGAGATTTTGCAACTCCACTGATCCACTCGAACTTGATCATGAAGAAAAAAACAACCTCCAAGAAACAGCATCTGTAGCTGGTAATCCAAATCCGGATGCCATTGCGGCACTCTCAAACAAAGGCGGCAAATTGCTCGCAACGACATGATTGGTCATCATTACGGGTAATGAATTGTTCCGACGAGTAGAAGGAAGCTAGGATTTGATATCAGAGAATTTGAGGCCTACAGGAAGGGTTACCGCGGTTGAAATCTGCAGGGAATGAGACCAGCGGTTGAAATCTGCAAGGAAGGAGACCGCCAACTGAATAAAACTACAAGGAAAGAAGGAAGTTTCCGGCGTCTAGTGCCTGCAAGGAGAGGAAGTTTCTGGAGAAAAATCTGAAAAGGGAAGGCAGAGGAAGTGTCTTCAACACGGCAAAGATCGTCAATAGCAAGCAATAGGAAGTTTTCGATGGTAGAAGAATCTAGGGTCTGTATCAAGGCTATACGCCTTAAAATGTGTTATTTTTCTATATACATTTTATGCGTATTTTTAATGTATTGCATTTTAATGAAAGATATTTTGTATGTCTTTGGTTTCAGGTACAAGAGATGAATTTTTAGAGAAA